AACGCCTCTCGGTCTCGCCCCTCCAGGCCCCCCCCAAGAATCCCCCTGCCGCGGGCGCCCATTGGCTGTACAGAGAGAGAAGGCGTGTGCCGGACCGGGAGGGTTTCATTGAGCGGAATTAGCCCGGATGACATCAGCTTCCCAGCCCCCGGGCGGGCCCAGCTCATTGTGCGGATGCTTATTATAACCCGACCGCGCACCAGCGCCCAAACCAGGTTCTCCGCAGCGGCTTTTCAGAGCGAGCTCTCCAAATCCGCATCCACAGTAAGTGTCCCCGCCCCACAGCGGTCCCAGTCTGAACCCAAGGACTGATGGCCCCCAACTCGGCCGCGTCCCAGGATGCTCTAGTAGAAGGGTCCAGGTCCCGCCCCTGCTCTTGCCCTCTCTACACTCACCCAAGCATCCTCTCTGCCCCAAAGCGAGAAATCGGAGCGACCACGAACAGCTCCCTCTGCTCGAGTCGGGGTCAGCTATCGCGCTCCCCCGGCCGCCGCGCGCTGTCCCGGAGCTCTGGGCCGGGCGTCGGGGTTGGGTACGCGCGCGCGCGTTAGCTGCGCGGTGTCGATGGAGATAAGGTGGACGCGTTTGAGGAACCAAATAGTTCTTCGTTTAGATCTCCACCCTCTCCAAAGAAAAACCCTCACTTGCCACTCGTTTATTCCAACCCTGGAGACCTAGCTTTCCCGTTCCTAACCGAAGGCACAAATCCTCCAGAACGCCACCCTCGCGGAGCATGCCGCTGCTCCCTGGAACTAAGCAACCTGTGGGTGGGAGCGGAGAGAGCTGCTGGGGGGAGGGGGGAGATTAGTTACGGGTACCTGGGCGCCGCCAGGAGGAAATCCGGGGACAGCAGAGAGGTGGACTCGAGCGACCGGCTCGAGTGGACTCCGTGCCGACCCTGCGCTGCGCTGCAGGCGGGAGCAGCTTTTCCGTTTCCCTTATTTAGCCTCTCTCTCTCTCTCTCTCTCTCTCTCCCTCTCTCCTTGCTTCCCGCCCTCTCTTTTTCTCCTCTTTTGGAAGCTCTGAGGCCGAAAGAGGGAGGACTTGCGAAAGCTGCGACTATCCCCCCAAGACCATGGACTCGGACGCCAGCTTGGTGTCCAGCCGCCCATCGTCGCCGGAGCCGGATGACCTTTTCCTGCCAGCCCGGAGTAAGAGCAGTAGCGGCAGCGGGTTCACGGGGGGCACCGTGTCCTCGTCCACGCCGAGCGACTGCCCGCCAGAGCTGAGCGCCGCGGAGCTGCGTGGCGCCATAGGCGCGGCCAGCGCGCACCCCGGGGACAAGCTGGGCGGCGGTGGCTTCAAGTCATCTTCATCTAGCACCTCGTCGTCCACCTCGTCAGCGGCCGCGTCGTCTACCAAGAAGGACAAGAAGCAGATGACCGAGCCAGAGCTGCAGCAACTGCGCCTCAAGATCAACAGCCGCGAGCGCAAGCGCATGCACGACCTCAACATCGCCATGGACGGGCTGCGCGAGGTCATGCCGTACGCGCACGGCCCGTCTGTGCGGAAGCTCTCCAAGATCGCCACGCTGCTGTTGGCGCGCAACTACATCCTCATGCTCACCAACTCGCTAGAGGAGATGAAGCGACTGGTGAGCGAGATCTACGGCGGCCACCACGCCGGCTTC